AGTTCAACAAAGTCTTTCTCAAAGTAGCAACAGTGCCACAGTGGAACATGATCCGAACGGAATAAGAAACATCGATTTTTCGTGAAATTAGGTATTTTCTAAAAGTAATTTGCCTCTGTTTTCTCAACTAAACATTGATTAAAACTTTGGTCTGAAATTGACCAGAATAGCTAAGCATCAAATATTATAATCTCTGAAGCAAAAAAAACGAACAAAACTCTCGAAATTAACCCGAAACACTATATTTTTGCTTCTTATTTATATTATTAAATTAATAATTAAACACAAGTATGCTGTATGTAAAATTTGAGGAGATGTTTGTACTCATTGTGATCTGTCATCGTTGAACATTAACAAAGAAAACAATTATCACTAAAAATTGATCGAGATATTCCGAAGGACTCACTTTGACGCTCTGAAGAGCGTTACTTTGACACTCTGAAGGTGTCTGACCAAAATTTATAATACTATTTTTTCCAAATGTATGTAGTATTAAATTTGATAACTAATACAAATTTTGTTTTCATAATATACTGAAATTGCATTGCAACTAAATGCAATTAATTAATTACAAATTAGTAGTTAATATTTCACTGTGCAAGAAATACATTTGTTGCTGAAGTACCTGAAATAGATAAGACAAACTACAAAAAAATAATGTACTCAAGTAACAAGTTCTATTTTAAACATATTAAATCTTGAATATAATTATTAAAATATTGATTATGTATTTTGATCAAAATTTTGCTATATATACAATAAGGTCTAACAAGTACTGACTAGTGACAAAACCTGCTATATTTAACCAATATTATAGGAAAAATAAATTATAAAATGAAATAAATACAACCACAATGATTTAGAAAATATGCGTATCGAACATGCTACCTGCGTCTTTCACCTTTTTGAGTCTTCCTTTTCTCCTTTTTTTCTTCTCTTTGTTGTTTTTGTTTTTCTCTAGAATAACAATAGTAAGAAATAATATAAAAATCACATGAAAAAATTGTTTGTTATAGTTTAAAACAGCAGTGTCCAACATCCATTCAAATTACCTGTCTTCTTTGTCTTTATCTTCTTTTTCTGGCTTTCAAGTTTTGCCTGCTCTCTTCTCTCTTTATTGGCTTGAAGAACATCAGAAACGTTCGTATTTTTCACCAGATCACATTCTGCATCCGACCCTGATGCTTCTTCATCTTCACCCTGGAGTTAGAACAAAATCCTTTAGTGGCATTGCTTATTAGCTTTGAAGCAGATGGCTAACTACTTCTTGTACTGTGATTAAAGTTAGCATCAAATATTATTTCTTTATATATTGAATATCAACAACACACCTCGTCTGACAACTGACTATATTGTGCTAATACTGCTTCTCTAATACGAAGTTCATCTGCTGTATATTGTCTCTGCACCGTTGTTGCTAAAGTTTGAGATTCTAAAAGACGTGCTAATCGAGTATCGACATCTTCAACTTCTGATGCAAGTTTCTCCTCCTGTTAGGTCTTGTACTAATCCATTTATCAACTATCTCCTTTACCACACTTGGTATGTCACTGATCTGCAAATAATTTTGGATTGCCAGAGGGAAACAAGCATATCTGTTACTAGTTAACATGAAATAGTTTAATGCATAATTCTTCATAGTCATATTTTTGCGTAATAACAAATATATCTTAGAATCAAATAGGTATATTTATCTTTCAAAGGTATACAACTCTTACAATTATTTCTGACAAAATTCCTTCTAGAGCTTCAACTTTTTCTTCATGACTTTCATCGCCTTCGAGAATTCCAGTAATATAAGAGCCAAAAACAGTTTCATCAGTATTTAATTTTTGCAATTTGTCATTTAGCCAGACGCTGAAATTATCACCCGCTGCTGCCATTTTAGTGAATTATTTTAAAAATGTTTCGTGCTAGCGGCAAGAAGGCCGCTTGAGGACTTTATTCATAAGTTACAAATATGGAAATTGTTGTTTTAACATGATATAATCCCGATTTCACACATTCTGAAAAAAGTTCCAAAAATAATCTATTTCGAGTTGCATGAGATTCGACAGATCGAGATCGCATGTGTTACCGCATTTAATCTTCTTGTGGTATGTTATTGCTACTATAAGAGCGGTTTATTTAAAAATATAATTGTTTTTTTTTTATATATAATTACATCAATATACTTTACAGTCAACCAATTAATATTTAATCATATTGTTTTTCATTTATTAATTAACTAATCTAACTGATTGATTTGGGCAAATTTTCGAAAAAGCAATTTCTTGTTATAGGATTAAAATCAATGAAAATAAGCCATTTATAGTTATATTTATAATACATTACGTCATTTTAATAATTCAGCCATTATCATATATTATTTACGAATGTATATAAAAATATATTTATGTTTAAGTAATTTTATGACACCTCGGGAAATTTATTTACCAATATACCCTTTTCTAACCTATAAAATACACGCACTTATAAAAATATTAAATAAATAATTTAGATACAAAATCTTTAAAAAAAAATAATAAATATATACAAAATATTATAAAAATGTCAGATTCAAGTAGTGAAGATGATGAAATTTTACAAGAAAACGATGCTGAAAGTAGTGATAGTGATTCCGAAAACAATTTACAGAATCAAGGTTAGTAGTATCTTAATAATATTAATCATAATTGCAATACTTTTCAATAATCATCTTTCTTCAATATATTAATTAGAAGAATATGAAGATGAATTGATTAAAGCAATCAAAGAAGCACAACAATTCCAAAGAAATCATCCACCCGATATAAACACAGAAGAGTTTAATGCTGATATATGTTTTCATCCCAAAAATGATTTGTTAGGGGTAGCAAATATGTTAGGAGATATACAAATTTATAAATATAGTACAGATGCAAATGAACTTATAGCAACACACGAATGCCATCTAAAATCATGTCGTGATATAGAATTCAGTGATGATGGTAATATTCTATATTCTACTGCAAAGGTAATATAAAATATACTATGTAAATTTGCTTCATAAAGAAAATAGAAGGTGCATTTGTAATAAGTTGATAATACATGCAAAATTGATTGAAATTCAGATTTATCATAAAGATTGTTACATGTTTGACTACTAAAGTAGTATATCAAATTCGTTTGATAATTTTATTAAATGACAATAATTATTTATTTCTAATATATTTGTACAATAGGATAAATCAATAGTTTTGACTGATGTTGAGAGTGGTAAATTTATACGAAATTATGAAGAAGCACATGAGGTGCCTGCTTATTGCCTCACAATTATTGATGAAAATATATTTGCTACAGGTATTACATATATTCTTTATTATTTTTTATTTATCATGTTTATCGTATAAAGATCCATTATTCACATAGGAGATGATGATGGATGTGTTAAAATTTGGGATTTAAGAGTCAAAGAGCAAGACCCATTGTTTTCTTTAAAAAAGTGCGAGGATTATATTTCTGACATGATAACTAATGACCACAAAAAATATTTAGTCTGCTCAAGTGGTGATGGGTCACTGACAACAATAAATATAAACATGAGGTACAAAACTAATGATCAAATTACTGTATATAAAAATAAATATATTATATTTACATTATTTGAATGATTCTTACTTAGAAAAATTCATGTGCAATCAGAAGAATATGAGGAGGAACTTACTTGCTTAGGACTTTATAATTATGAAACCAAAATTGTGGCAGGTAGCAGTAAAGGACGCTTGTATAGTTTTAATTGGAATGAATTTGGATTGCATTGTGATTCTTTACCTGGACCTAAGAGATTAATATCTTGTTTAATACCGGTAACAGAAAATATTGTAGTTTCTTCTGGGGAAGATGGTATACTTCGTGCAACGCATTTGAGCCCTCAGAGACATTTAGGAGTGGTAGGGCAACATAATTTATTTGTTGAATCAATGGATATATCGAATGATGGAACCATAATTGCTTCGTCATCTCATAATAATGATATTAAATTTTGGAATATACAATACTTTGAAGATTATGAAAAGGCAAACACTAAAGAAAAACACAATAAAAAGAAAGAAATGAAGAAAAATTTACCCTCTAGCAAAATGAAAGATGCTTCAGATTTCTTTGCTGGATTTGCTGCATGATCGTTATTATTTATTGATTGTTGGGTTTGGCGAATTAAATATTTTTGAAGATAAACCATTGCTGTATAACTATAATGTTTACTTCTCAATATATATATATTACATTTCAATTTATAAAATAAACCTGTTATTTATCACAATTTTTTTTATACTTCAGAAACTAGGACACTATTTTGAATAATTAAATATTTTTAACTTAAAACAAATTTTAATTTAATCATAGCGTACTAAGTAATTCAAATCAATGATCATGATATAGTTTTTAATGGGTGGAGGTAGCGGCAATTCATCAACGACTTTATTAAAAATTTTAATAAATCTGGAAGAAAACATACATATGTTAAGTTAAAATTCTATCCCTAAAGATAATTGGGCTTAATAATAGTTGTGTTTCCAAAAACCTTCATAAATCTTCATATTATACTTACGTCAACTGCTTATAAACAGGCCAGCTAGAAATTTCCTTTGATATTTTAGATTCTTGTGTTTTTTGTTCTTTTTTCTGTTGGTAAGTAAGAAAAACGTTTTGACCGTCATCAGGATCTAATAGCAAATGTCGCGCTAAATTTTGATTTGAAAATGCATAGATTGATTCCATTGAATCTGTTGTGTCTGTATTTGGGGGGCTGTCCAATGTTGAAGAAGTGAATGATGTAGAGGACGAAGATGAAGATGAAGATGATGAGGGTAATTTCTCATCATCTATGTCATCTAGAAACTCTAATTCGTCCTAAAATGAAAAATTATAATTTGATAATTCAGATCAGTTCACAAATAATTTTAAAGTAATGCATACCTCATCACTACTACTTTGAGAAGTCCCAAAACGTTTTGATTCACTCTCATTATCAAAATCTGAAGACCGTTTTGGAGCCTTTTCTGAAGAGAAAATTGGTAAATAATATGGAATTAATAAGAATAATATTATAAGCTCACCTTCATGTGAACAAGATGCATTATTTATGGTTGAACTATCTTTGATTAAATTTTTGCTTATAGTTTTACATTTGGTGATTGATTGTTCAGCTTCAACATTTTCATTATCATTCCAGTCTGTAATATCTTGTTGCAAATCTATTAATTGCCAATTATTAGTTGTATCATCAGTCTTATTATCTTCATTTTGAGGCTGTATATCGTCATTATTTTGATTATTCCCAGTCCCATTCTGTCCCTGTCTTTCTAATACCAAATCTTGATGCCTTCTAATAAATTCATGTCTAATGGATTCTTGATGCCTTCTAATAAATTCATCTCTAATGGTTACATTTTCTAGTAACCATCGGAATCGATCTCGAAACCTAGCAATGTCCATTTCTAGTTCTTCAAGTGACTCAACTGGATTTTCATCATCTGACTATTTTTAATAATGCATTTTATATTCTTATATATTTGTTATAAATAAATGAAAAATACTTACTTCCATGTGTTGGGCTTGATTATCTTGAATAATGTACTTTGTACATGTAGAACAATTATTCATGTGCTCACTTTTAATAGTTTCTGCAGAAATTTGCAAAAATAAGTAATAATAGTAACAAATATTTATAAATACATTGCATAGATGTTTATAAAATTATTGACTGAACTGACCTATATCTTTTTCAGACATATTGAGTTGAACATTATTTTTTCTTAGCTGTGTTCCATTTTCACCATCTGTACTATTGCTTTCTATAATAATAATAGTAATTATCGTCAAGACTTAATTACCTTATTAAAATTTGTATAGTTATGAAACCAACCATGCAAATTTATTATCAAAACTAAATCAACAAAGCAAAGAACTACTTTTAAATGATATTGCACATATTTATTTAAGGAACAGAAAATTTAAAATACTCACGAATTCTTCTTTCATATACAAGATCAGCTCGAATACATGGCACTTTGGAAAGAAAAATACTTTTTACCTCTTTGTCTTTTAACTTTTCACTTGTATCATTGATATTCTGAAAATCTTTATCAACTGAAATTCTGGCTAGTGTTTCTTTTTCTATCAAGTCTCGAATGCTCTTTCTGCACGATTCTCTTAAAGTCAATGGACAACCAAAAGCTACAATATAATATTATTCAAAATTGATGCAAAGCATTTTGTTGAATCACATACTTACGTGCAATATTTCTAACTCCCGCTGGATCTTTTGGACTTTTTGAAACTAAAGATGCAAAAGATACTCCAGTCACTAGTGACGAATGGAACAGTTTAGAAGTCAATCGTTGTATCAAGCAAAGACAATTTGATATAGGTAATATTAAACAGCCTTCAACCTGACATTATTTTTTAAGTAAAATATATTCAATTTAATTTAAGATTAATATTACAATATTTTTTTATTTTACCTTAAGAAACTGTTTAAAATAGTTAGACATAACTTCTGTACATTTAGCTCCTACATAGATTCTGTCATATAACATGTTGGGAAGTATCGCAAATGCATCACCTACAAAACAATAATAATTGCAACTTAAAATATCATTGCCTATTAGAAAATGAATGATTTGCATTTGCTACTAATAATAATATTTAATTATTTATGCTATATTTCTGATGTTTCTTAATGATTTAAAAATATATTATTTAAAAATAATCACCATGTGTAAGTGTAGGTCTACAAAAACTAGTATTTTTTATCTGCGGCAAAGTATTTGCCATGAAACTATCAATACACACTTCGGCATGGGCTATCACATCTTTATTTATTTCTATGCCATGATTTATACCGTATTCCCCGACCAGCAATCCAACTATGGTGTTTAGGTAACCAGTACCTGATCCAATATTTAAAAAAGACATGCCTGGCTTTATTTGTAAAGTTTCTAGCGCAAAACTGTAATATATACAAATGGTGATAATCTAAATAGAATATGAGCAATAATTATATTTAAATTCATGAGTATTAGGATTAGTATAAGATATACATGTTAAGATAACAGAAGTGTTATGAATGGCATAGACAAAAATTATATAAATCATTTGACTTAGAAATTTGCAGTATTTTAAATACAATCAAACAAACTTCCATTCCAAGCGTTAGAAAACATTTTAACCAAAATTATAATTAATTTTGAACATAGACTCTATAGTGAAATTTATAAAGGGTATAAAGCTTTAATAAAACTTTAGATATATATGTTATTAATTTTAAAATAGTTTTAGTTACCAATATATTGAAGGAGCTGAAAGATGTAAGTCGTTATACTTCCAAGCACAGTCTGCATAAGCAAATTCTCTTTTTGAAGGTGATACATAATCTCCTCTATCGACAATTCTAAATCCATCAGCAATTTCATTTGATTGTAAATATTTAGAGGCTATCAAGTTCTCCACTAATTCACGATTGTTTGTAGCAGTACTCACATTGTTACCCATTTTTTAATTTGTCAATTTTTTTTTAACAACATGGATATGGATGGCTACTTATAACTGAACTAAAACTTCATAAATACCTTGAATTACAGCAAAGTATTTGACAATAAATGTACTCAAATGGTTGTTATTATTAATTCACCATAATCAAAATATGCATTTCCTTTTGTTATCATAGTACATTCTTACTTAAGGTAAACAAATATTTTTTCGCAATAAGACATTTATATCAGTTAGTTGCTCGCTGACAAAAAAATTTAACGCTTTTATAATTGTAGTTGCAAAATAGATGAATATTGTAATAAAATTTGTGACAAAGTAAAATCAAACTGCAATAATATTTTAATAATCAATTTTCTCATAGATGGCAACCCCGGTTTGTTCCTGTGCTCTGAACATGCTCTGAACGCTCTGAACATACATAATGGTGTTTTTGACAGTTCTCGATACTGGATCATATGTTTTTAATATGTAAAATACGAATAATTGAATAATTAGTATTTAACACAACAATTAGAAATATTTAATATAAATTCATTTTGTTAATTAATTGGACAAAATGAATTCAAGTGTGATAATTGCGAAAAAGAGCCTTTCTCAAGTTTATTGTAAGTACCTAACCTATATCTTTCATTTAAGAAATTTTGAACTACAGTAGAACCTCGATTAACCGGACTAATTGTTGTTCGGATAATTGAAAATCCGGATCATCGGATGTATGAACAATAATGTTGTGTATCTATTAAAAATAAGAAATACATACCTAGATATCAGCGAAAATTAATGTTTATTAAAAATTGAAGCTTCTTTATGTATGTACATATATATTCATGCAAAAATTCGACTTGTAGGTATGAATATACATTTAAGTTGATCGCCGTTGGGAGTCCAGATAATCGCGAATCCGTATAACTGAGGTCCGGATAAACGAGGTTCTATTGTATATTACAAGTATTACAAATATTTGAGTTATTATCCCCTTTTTTACAGTTTTAATCACACGCTCCAAACATAAAATTCTCAAAGTTGGTTTAAATCAAGAATGGAGAAAACAAAGAGACTTGCCGGAAAACCCAAATCGTGGTGGACCCTTAGCAAATCTTCCAGATTATACATTTTTGGATGGAAGACCCACACCTTTAGGAGTAAACAAATTATCATATTTTGTCTAAAATTTATTAAATACTTTAAAGCCTCCAAAGACTTTAGAAACATTATTACCTTTAACATTATATATTAACATAATAACATTTTACAAATAAGTCTATAATAATCAACAGTAACATAATAATTACTAAAGAGTATTATCATCATATATACAGTGTAATCTCAATAATACAGCACTATTAAACATGGGTGGGTGCATGATTATTAAAATGTTTGAATTACTGGATTATAGCAAAAAAGTCATAGTGATATTATGAATAAAATAATGCATTTCATTGTGCAACGGCCTATAAAACAGATCAGTCTCGTCTGAGTTATAGATTTGGTCAGGAAGAAAAGCAAGTTCTTCTAATTTGTTTTTAAAATGCTTGATAAATGGATATACTGCAAATTCCTTGTTTAAATTTATCCAGACATCAATCTCTCACATGTAAATCATATTTGTTTTAATTTTTTTATATAATTTAAAAAATAGTGAGGCGTTGGGTGCCGGATTATTGGATGCCATGATTGAATATGTGATCTATCAAAGTGCCAGATTAGTGAGATTATACTGTATATATATATATATATATATATATATATATATATATATATATTGTTAGTATTATTGTGATTATTATTATTACCTCTGGCTTCTAAGACACAATTTGCGGTATGAGGGCACCAAATATATTTACCCCCATTCACTTTTGAAATAAGACTTTAAATTCAATTCCTTGTATTTTTTGCATGCACAATATATATATATATATATATATATATATATATATATATATTTGTGTGTGTGTGTGTGTGTACATATGTATATACATTAGTCATATTTTTATTACAGATGAATCGGTTGAGGAAGATAACTAAGCAGCGTGAAATTGCTAAACAAATAGTTACTCTTTCTTCAGAAATAGATTTTGCATTAGAGAGAAGTGCAAAATTGAAACAACAAGAAGAAACTAAACGCCAAGAAATAATCAACAGCAAATTGAAACCTAAAGGCAACACCTTACTACAATAGTCATAATTATCATTATAATATTAGTTAGAGAATATATAAATGTAAAATGTTACTCTTAGTTTCATTTTAATAATATTTATATAATATTTTTTTCAGTAATATGGGGAAAGATATTACATATTTTTTTGGATTTTCTCTTCCAGCTTTTATCTGTCTCTAATTAATATTTTTATAAAAGCTTTTATATTTTTTGTATCCTAAGATACAATATGAAAAAATTTTTTTTGTAATTCAAACAACTGCTTCTGTAAAAACAAAGAATACAACTGACCAAGAAATTTTTTTTATATATATTTTTCGTTTGATATAAGGGTCCTAAAATGAAAGGCCCACAAAATATAAGTTTATCAACATATTTGACATTAAGGTTCATTTAAAAAATTCGTATCAGTTACGAAATTTATTTTGCTCTTATATAACATGCCTTAAATACTGCATAACAGCTATGTACAAGTGTAAATGTTTAATATTTTCAACAAAGTTTTCAGAGAGTTTTATGTAAAAAAAGTAATTACACAAGATTGAAATTCTTGAATAATTGAAATCATGCAATAATTATGAAAAATGTTACGTTTCCAACGACGTTTCAAAGTGAAATTCTCTGTTTCTCGGCTAAAAGTTATCTAGATTTGAAACTATTTTTATTCAACGCGTACTCAGATAAGAGCGCAACGTCCGATTTTGTTTCGGTGAAAAAGTTTAGGCCTTCAAATCAAAATCTGTCAGGTCATCACAATAAAAATATACTAGAAATGTATTACATAAAGATCAACACCATATAGAGCCAGCGCAGTGTCAAGGGCCACAAAATGCCTCTCAAGAAAACTAATACGAAACGTGAACCGGCCAAGACAAACAATAGATTTGGGAAAACGAAAAAAGGGATTAGAAACAAAAGACGTTTGAATAGAACTAATTCTCCTGGTAATGCCAATAGAAAATCAGCAGGCCCATCGGAAATAGCTGCGGGACAAAATAAAAAAGGTGAATCGACACGGAAAGCTTCCAAACGCGCGGGTTTATTTTGCGACTTTCATACAAGTATGTTGAAATGGATTTTACATAATATTTTGAATTTGCTCGTTTCAAGTGGGAGTAGTTATTAAATTTATAAATTTATTTTGGTCATACAAATATTAGAAATGTTTTTGCAAATTCTGCCAGCGCGAATGTCGATCAAACTTTTCATAAAATTTTCACCTAATGTTAAAGCCGACAAATTATTTTCTTATTCATACTTTTTTAATTAAATTGAATAATTATTATTTTAATAATTCAATTTTTTTCAGATGATAATCATGTAAATCCACCAAATTCTAAAATATCAGAAAATTCAGATGATGCTTTTTGTGAAAAATTTACCATTTTGAGAATTTCTTCTACATGTGATAATTCTATCGGAAAAGAATCTAAAATTTGCAAAGAGAACTCATTGCTAGACGAACTTTGCCACGCAACGGGCAGTTCTGATGAAAGTATGATAAAATTGTTATTGTTCCATAGTTAAATAATTAATTATTATTTAGTATCACAAGAAAATTAAATGTACTACACATTTTTTTACTTTGAAGGTATAGCAAGTTCTTCGAGTGAAGGACTAAGTTCAATATCTGAAGCAAAGACATGCTCTTTCATCGTTATCGGAAGTAACCCTGGAGAGCCAAAAAAAATATTTAAAGATGAAAAATCTGATGATAATGTAATAACTTTACATATACGTTATTTAATATATTATAACAACTGACTAAAATTTTTAAAAATAATAAAAGTATTAAAATTAATCGGGATTGGTGACTTATAATTATGAGTAAAAAAATGGTTTCCTGTTCACGTTTTCGTAAAAAAAATTAAACCGTGTTTGAATCGATTTTAAAAGATAGCGCCTGTAATGATCGGTCAAGTTGTTATTGGATTGAGTATTTTACATCAAATTTTCTAAAAGGTATGATGAAAACCATTTTTTGCAGATTATCATCTCACGCGCTCTCTTTATATACGTATATACTTTTAAATTTTACTTGATAATCATAATATAAACATCTTCCATATCATCGTAGAGTGAAATAAATATTGGAAAAAGCATCCCTTGTGAAGGCCAAGATTTATCACCTTTTAACAGCATTTTGAAGAAAAAATCTTCTGAGCTAATTGAAAGAGATGGTGGTGATATTGGAATTAGGAGTTTCTTTGACGAACAGGTTGGCAAACCTTAAACCCTTCTTTAAATTGAGTACCAATTTATTATTATTTTTTAATTATTCAGTACCATATTGCTACCAAGCTTATCCGAGTAAGAAAAAGCAGACGAAGAAGGTCAATTTCAGACCTCAAGTTGATATAATTCAATACGCGGGAGGAGAAGGATGTCGTGTTATTTCACGAGTTACCGAACCATTGAAAAATGAGCGCGTTCAACAGGTAAATATACATTTTAGTAATCGATATATTTTTGAATTCTTGTTTTTAATGCAACCTTTATGCAACCAAGACTGGTCTTTTGTCTAGGTATGTCGGACTCAATACTGCTTGGTATAATACCGACTAAAACCTTCGCTTTACCCTTGCTCCCGGTCCCCACGGAAACCGCCGTTAGGCGTTACTTCGTGGGGGGAGGAGGATCAAGAATGTTATCATTCTTGCACTGAAATTATACTTATCTTTTAAATGAGCGAATTCCGATTATTTATATATGTACATATGTATTTATGTATATATGTATAAATGTATATATGATACGATATAAGCTGTCCTTAATTGAACTATTATTCCAGGCACGAAATACAGAATTAAGAAAAGGATACTTGATGCTCAAGTTTCAAAGAGTAGAAACATGGCATAAAAATATAAATTTATCAAGTAATCGACAAACAAATTTTATATATAATACTTTTTATATAAGGCTCAATTTTACTATTTTTTGAAACGGATATTTTGGGATATGCATAATATGCATAATTTTATATGCGCTTTTATGTTTATTTGGATTAAATAAACCATTGAAATAGTAAAAATGTGATTATAAAATAATGATAACGACTTAATAAAAATTTTGAAATTAAGTTTTAAAATTAATATTTTATACTTTTCGTAGGGTAAGTTACAGTAATCGCAAAAAATGGATGTATGTGTGTATGTACCAATACACATTTTTGTCGACGATTTTGCAAACATGGATCAACCGATTTATATAATCCTAAAAATATTCGATTCGTATTGATGGCAGGCGTTTTGATTAATTTCTAGCAAAGGCAGGTGCATCGCAAATACACGGGAAAAATGCAAAAAAAATAAAAAATGACAATTCAGTTTTTGAGAAAGTACTGTCAATTCGAATTCGAATTATTCAGAACTGATTTAATTTTGAAAGACAGGTCCAGCTTTTTTATAGATCGAATAAAAAAATAAAAAAAATCATTTGGCGTTCAAAAATAATTTTTAGACTATGCACATCAAATTATCAGATATTTTATAGAAATTTTTAGAGAAAAATATTTCAAAATTCTAATATTTTCAAAGTTCAAATAAATTGTTTTAAATGTTTCTAAAGATTCTAATTTTTGGCACACGAGGTTCCAGCAATTTGCTTTAAGGCACGATGCCATGCACTACAAGATTAGTTTTGAATTTATATTTTACGTTAACATCCGAAGTAGAGTTACATATAACATAACTACAATGCAACCTTCGGATCCAACCAGGGGATGTTTTTGCCCGATTCCTCAATTTGCCCTTTAGTCACCTTTAGTCAAATCTTAACCAATTACAATTAAATTTAAAATACACAATTCGAAGCATTTCATTATCTCCTAGGAATTGACTGAAAGATTGAGAAGAAAATTTATATATTTAAGCATAAATGTACCAATACACTGCAAGATCTTTGCATTTGATCTGAGCGCATGCGTCCGCTTTTCCTCCCACCGCACCGCGTTTTTACGCGATGTCATGGCGTAATGTCACAATCAAAATCGTGAAAATTGGTATGCGAGTAGTATTGACAAGTAAGTCGCTCCTTGCTAGATTGCAAATAACACCAATTAATTTTATGCTAAAATAGAGTACTTTTACCAAAATAATGGGCCAATTTTCGTATTACTCCTTCGTGCAAACATACTAGTGCTACGATTATAACTTGAACTTGTGCATTCTACGCTAAATTTGATACAATAACCAATAAATTTGATTGGAGTTTCCGGACAACGAATCCAGAACTACGCGTGTGCTACGGGGCAGCAACGTAGATGGTTAATTAAGTGATCTTGAATAATTTCTTACCCTTATACAAACTTATTGTAGTGAATTTATTAAAAATAATTTTTAATAAATCATTACATTGAATTAAATTCAGTGTTATTACTGTTATTATTTTACATAAAGCGCGAAACAAATTATGATGTGAAATAACGTGGACATAAATTGAAATTATGATTAATTTGATGATACATGTTTGGAGTTATGAATTAAGTTGATTGCGTTTTCTAAGGAAGGTGAGTTGATAACTAGGTCAATATTTTTTGTTAATTTCAAAATAAACGGCGATAAATAGAATTTATAAAATAACATGTTTTCTTTTTTAAAGTTTACTTGCTTACTATTTAAAATTTCAGATAACATTAATAGCAGCAGCAAGATAAATCAAGATTATAACTTAATTTGATCAAATATTTTATAACATTCAGATGGTGGATTTTTTTATTTCAACAACTTTTCTTAATAATATACATATATGATCGATTTAGTATTTTGATTTACTTCTTAATTAGATATATAATTGTTTTATAGTATACATGGATTCAAATTGACAAAATTGATAGTTTAACATTTTCGATTTGAGTAATTGATTCATTTCGTGAATTCTTTGCAAATAGATTTAGATTCAAGAGTTTGCATTAATGCTGATGAATAATTAGTGAAAAATGATGTTGTTAATTAATTAGTAATATAGATATATCATGTATCCATATATGTGCGTTACACATATCTATAGTTTAATTATTGAT